TGTCTTACGCTTTACAACCACTGGCCTTTCACAGTCGTCAACACAGAAGGATGCTGACGTTGCCGAAATAGAAACTCAACGGTTGCACAACTACTTTTGAAAATAAAAGGGGACGCCTGGGTGGAAGATGAGTGGCAACAGGCCGAGTGRTTATGTTCTATTCTGTCTGGGCTGTGAAATCCCAGTAAGGGAGTGGAAAGAAAATCATGGGGAGTAGATGCAGACTGGAGGTAACCTACTCTCTCTGTTTAGACAAGGGMGATGGTTGGGAGGAGAAAGCAATCAGCAAAATCCAGTGTACTTGTGGGCTGATAAGAGAAGAGGCACTAAAACTCGTAAAGGATCAGAAATCCATCGAGTATTTATTCTATATTCACGGGCAAGACGGGAGATTGCACAGTACTTATTCGTTTATCGAGACAGTTGAACAGACCTGAGCGAAGGCTAAGGGGGCATGAGAAATTACAGATGTCGTTTCCTCCGGGGACCTAGTCAATGAATTTAGACAGAATGCAACACAAGGCTCTAGTACTTAGCGCTGTTGGCAGAGACCATTGCTCAGCGAGGTTGGTAGCAACCAATCAGCAATACAACCAATCCTCAGGCAGCATGCGATCAGCGACAAGGTGACAGTGAATCAATCACTTTAGACAACAACCTATCACCTGTCAATCAACATATTCTGTGTTCAGTACCTAACGGTTGAAACCAGTGATTTTCGTGACCTGTTGCTCAGTAGCTTCAACTACGTATATCTCCAGCTGGCAGCGTTCTGCCCTTCTTTAAGTATTCAGATTCTCGGTCAGCATAATCTCAGCAACACTCAGTTTCGGTCAGCAGAATTTCAGCAATCATTCAGTTCCCCTTTCAACAGTTAATCAGTTCTCTGGTCCRCAATCAATKRSTTTTCTGACCAGCAATCGATCAGTTCGCTGATCARTGACCCATCAGTATGTAGATCGGCATTCAGAAATAGTACTCAAAAGACACTCACGCAGCGGATCTTTGTCGTTGAAGCACAATCACTCTTCTCTATCAGGGAGTGGCTAT